CCGAAGCCTCATGGACTAACGCCGCGCAAGCGACCTGCCTCCTGCCGATGCTGATCGCAGACAAAATACGTGCACATCCCTTCTCGAAGGATCCGTCGCCGCCCCGTCTCCCGGTTGTGACCTTCACCCCCCTCCCGGTCATTGGCGTCGACCCCTCGTCGTAACGACCCCTGGCGCCCCGCAACATCGACATCGACCTCCTCCTGGTCCTCGTCATCATCGTCGTCGTCCCCAAACGAACTCATGTATACTTCCGTTAACCCCGCTGACCGTCATGGCGTGACTACTTCACCGCCATGACCGCGACCCCCCTCGTGGTCATCGTCTCCTGTCATCTCTCATTCCTGAACTCTGCCCTCGTCGCGACGAGTCGCATCTTCTGTCATTTTCTGGAATGCTTGAGCCCCCCCCCCCCGAGAAAATGACCGCGACCCCTCTCATGGTCAGGACGTGCTTGCTGCTGTACCTCAGTCACCCACTCTTCGGTTGTTCCTGGGCGCAGGACCAAGATTGAGGCGAAGCGAAGCGAGCCCTCAAATCTTGTATATATATATATATATATATGCTTGCCCCCCCCCACATGATCATACATATTCTCCCCTCCCTCATCTGCTCCCCGCTCTCCGTCGCTCTTCCTCATCCTCCTCCTCCTCCTCCTCCTCCTCCCTCCTCCTTCCTCCCGCCTCCCTCCTCCCTCCCTCCTCCCCCCTCCCCCCTCCACAATTAAACAATACGACGACTACTACTACTACTAACTACTACGACTACGACTACGACTACTACTACTACTACTACTACTACGACGACTACTACTACTACTACTACTCCTACTACGACTACTACTACTTCTACTACAAATACTGTTAATACGACGACGACGACTACTATTACTACTACTACTACTACTACTACTACTACTACTACTAGTACCACTACTACTACTACTAGTACTACTACTACTACTACTCCCTCCCAGCACCTGTCTCTGTGCCTCCCGAATCAAGAAAGAAAGCAAGCATGCACAGTGTTTGGCGCACCCGATGCAAGGAAACGCTGTGTATTTTTGGTTTGTTTGGTTTTTTTGGTTTGTGAAGCCACGAAACACTGTGTATTTTTGTTTTTTTTGGTTTTTTTGGTTTTGCAAGCCCCCATGCTCGCCGCGGTCGCCCTCCCAGCGCCCCTCTCTCTGCCTCTCAAAACCAAAAAAACCAAAAAAACCAAAAATACACAGTGTTTCGTGGCTTCACAGACCAAAAAAACCACAAAAACCAAAAATACACAGCGTTTCCTTGCACCGAGAGCGCCGCGAGGAGGAGGAGGAGGAGGAGAGGAGGAGGAGCGACGACGATCAAGAATAAGACGAACTGCTACTACTACTACTACAACTACAACTACTACAACTATACCACTACAACTACAACTACAACTACAACTACTACGACTACTACTACTACTACTACTACTACGTCTACTTCTTCTACTATACTACTACTACTACTACTACTACTACTACTACTACTACCGACTACTACTACTACTACTACTACTACTACTACTACTACTACTACTACTACGACTACTACTACTTCTACTACAATACTGTTAATACGACGACGACGACTACTACTACTACTACTACTACTACTACTACTACTACTAGTACCACTACTACTACTACTAGTACTACTACTACTACTACTCCCTCCCAGCACCTGTCTCTGTGCCTCCCGAATCAAGAAAGAAAGCAAGCATGCACAGTGTTTGGCGCCCCCGATGCAAGGAAACGCTGTGTATTTTTGGTTTGTTTGGTTTTTTTGGTTTGTGAAGCCACGAAACACTGTGTATTTTTGGTTTTTTTGGTTTTTTTGGTTTTGCAAGCCCCCATGCTCGCCGCGGTCGCCCTCCCAGCGCCCCTCTCTCTGCCTCTCAAAACCAAAAAAACCAAAAAAACCAAAAATACACAGTGTTTCGTGGCTTCACAGACCAAAAAAACCACAAAAACCAAAAATACACAGCGTTTCCTTGCACCGAGAGCGCCGCGAGGAGGAGGAGGAGGAGGAGGAGGAGGAGGAGGAGGAGCGACGACGATCAAGAATAAGACGAACTGCTACTACTACTACTACTACTACTACTACTACTACTACGTCTACTTCTTCTACTATTACTACTACAACTACAACTACTACAACTACTACCACTACAACTACAACTACAACTACAACTACTACGACTACTACTACTACTACTACTACTACGTCTACTTCTTCTACTATTACTACTACTACTACTACTACTACTACTACTACTACTAACTACTACTAAGAACGACTACGACTACTACTACTACTACTACTACTACTACGACGACTACTACTACTAACTACTACTCCTACTACGACACTACTACTTCTACTAACAAATACTGTTTAATACGACAGACGACGAACGAACTATGGCAGCCAGCGGCGGTACTAACTACTACTAGGTACACTAATACTAACTACTACTACTACTACTACTACTCCCTCCCAGCACCTGTCTCTGTGCCTCCCGAATCAAGAAAGAAAGCAAGCATGCACAGTGTTTGGCGCCCCCGATGCAAGGAAACGCTGTGTATTTTTGGTTTGTTTGGTTTTTTTGGTTTGTGAAGCTACGAAACACTGTGTATTGTGTATTTTTGGTTGTTTTGGTTTTTTTGGTTTTGCAAGCCCCCATGCTCGCCGCGGTCGCCCTCCCAGCGCCCCACTCTCTGCCTCTCAAAACCAAAAAAACCAAAAAAACCAAAAATACACAGTGTTTCGTGGCTTCACAGACCAAAAAAACCACAAAAACCAAAAATACACAGCGTTTCCTTGCACCGAGAGCGCCGCGAGGAGGAGGAGGAGGAGGAGGAGGAGGAGGAGGAGGAGCGACGACGATCAAGAATAAGACGAACATGTATGATCATGTGGGGGGGGGGGATTGTGCGGGCTTACCTTATATATATATATAAATATATATATATAGTTTTATGCATAATTATACATGATTCTATATATAGATACATATATATATACATGTATATATATATATATATATATATATATATATGCCATAATATCCCTCTACTACAATGGTGATCGCGATGGCGATGAGATCCCACAATATACATATCCGTCGGCCGACCTATCGGTGAATCTCCATGTCCGGACGCCATGGCAGGCGGACGGAGGGGCGCCATGGGGCGGCATCCGAAAGGCAAAGGCGCCGAACGCTCGAGCCTCGCAGTCTGCCGCGATCGTGCCCAGGCGCCGACAAAAATGAATTGATGGATTGGGTTGGGTCGATTGGATTGGATGGGAGAAGATGGATTGGATCATATAAGATGGGTTGGATTGGAAGAAGTGGAATGGATCAGATAAGATGGATTGGAGTGGCCCGCCGCAGGCGCAGAAACAAATGAATTGATGGATTGGGTTGGGTGGATTGGATTGGGTGGGGTAATATAAGATGGGACAAAATGGGTTGGATCAGATAGTATGGATTGGATTGGATGGGATGGATTGAATAAGATAAAGCTGGATTGGCGAAAAAACCCGCCGCAGGCGCCGAAACAAATGAATTATGAAATTAGCGACATGCGTTAGCGCCGGGACGCCCGGGACACCCAAGACATCCTGGACAGCGCCCGGCCCAACCGGGACACCTCCCGGCCACCGGCGGACGGGAAACGGACTTTCGCTCCTATTGACACTGGGGACACCAGGGACACCGCCCGGCCCGACTGGGACACCTCCCAGCCACCGGCGGACGGGAACGGACTTTCGCTCCTACTTCGGCCTAGCTACAGGAGGGTCACGCGCAGCTTCGCCTCGCCCGCACGCACGACACGAACACGAAACCGAAACCGATTTCCTGGTGGGCGATGTCACCCCCCAACCTCCGATAACTGCGAACGAGTTGAAGTGTGAACGAGTCTGACTCGTACGAGCGCGTCTCTGCACATGTGCCTGGAGCGCCTGGGGCCCCCTGACATCTCCTGGGACGTCCTGGAGCCTCGTGGGGCCTCGTGTGGCCTCCTGGGGGCATCCTGGGGAGGATTCGTGCCCCAGGGGAGGCCCAATGTAGGAACACCAGTAAAACACCAAGGACACGTGCCCGAAGGGGGGCTCCATATATAGAAATGTAAAACACCTAGGAGCAAAACTACGACAATCTATAGACACATACGTAAAACACTAATGATTCGTGCTCCAGGGGAGGCCCAATCTATAGGAGCATACGTACAACACATGGGATTGGAACCACTCCTGCTGCCTTTTGAAGCATCCTGCTCCTGGGACCTTTTGGGATCTCTTGGGACCTTCCAAGGCCTCCTGATGCTTCCTGGCGCTTCCTGTGGCCTCCTGGTCCTTCCTTTGGCCTCCAAGTGCCTACTGGGGCCTCCTGTTGCCTCCTGGGGCTTCCATCCTGGGGGGGATCCGTGCCCACGAGTATGGTCACCAAAACAGGCAAACCGATCGAGACATCCTCAAATTCTGTCCTCGCTTGGGGGGGTGAAAACGAACGCCTCGCTCGAGACATCCTCCAAATCTGCGCCGGCAGCGGAGGATGTTGAGCTGGTCAACGGGCACACCGCTCGAGACATCCCCGCGATTTGGCGCGAACGGAAGCCGTGAGATAATTACCCCTGGCCGCCCCCTCGCTAGGAGTGCTGAAACCGGCAAACCGCTCGAGACATCTTCAGAATCTGTTCTGAGCGCGAACGAGTCTGGCCATCACAACAGGCAAACTGCTCGAGACATCCTTGCAATCTGGCACCCTCTGGTCATCAGCGCCGTCATCACTATCATCGTCATCATCATCATCATCATCATCATCATCATCATCATCATCATCATCATCATCATTCATCATCCTCATCATGATTTCATCATCATCATTATCATCATCATGATCATCGTAATCACATGTAATCATCATCACCAGCGGGGAGGAGGAGAAGGGAGGACGGTGTGTGTGGGAGGGAGGTCCGCGCGGTCACAGTAATGACAATTATCCCATCCTTTGGATTTGGGGAACAAGCAGAGAGCCAATATTTCTGCCGGTCGTCGAACTTCTTTGAGCGCAGCATTCGTCTAATGGGGGTCGGGTGAGACGCGGGGATTAGCAACGTCATGCAGGGCGCCAGCCATCCTGCGCTCATGCATCCGCTGAACGCCTTCCTCGAGCAGCTTATTGAACAAGGCAGGGAGGGTGTGAAGCAAATCGATGACAAATCCTCGGTCATCACGCCAAACCGTGAAGCCGACGGCCTTCCAACCTTTCCGATGTTGACTGATCAGCATTATTTGAATGGGCCCTCGAGACTTCCTCTGCTTACCCCGTGGCCTTCAAATCAAGCTGCTGGCCCTCGACAGGATCCCGCCAGATCTGCACGTGTTGCCGAAAAGAAAAAGGGGAGGTGTCTGCTGGGCGATTGACCTCCATACACTCGTGGCCCACTGATGGGCTGGAACACCATCTGCAGACATGTGAATTCAGCATCCGCCATGCTTAACACCATGGCTCCGTACCCAACGGCAGGGCAAACTCCAGCAACGTAACTCGCATGCATCCTGGATCTGCCCCGAGGAAGTTTACGACGACAGTGGGAAATAATATGATGAGTTTCCTCATCATCCTGAACCTCTCCTTCCTCTTAACCCTTCCTCATTTGCACGCTCGCCGCCAACCTGGGGCCAAATTCGTGCCCAACGACACGGCCGCGTTGGTCGCATTCGGTGGACAAACCGTACGCACGCGAAAACAGAAACGATTGGGGAGGCGCTGCGAGGAGGCGAAGGTAACGGCCTTGTCCTCCGCGAGGCGAACATTCAGCCTGCTGGAGAATACAACCTTGAAGTCCATTCCTGCCCTAACCACATTGGGCACTACCGTTTCCTCGTCGCCATACGGGGCCACGGTACGATCATCAACGTAGAAACCACCGCTTACGGTTTGCGTCTTTCCCCACGACCAGAGGTACGTAGCGAGAGATGCCATGAACCAGCGCTGTCCCAAGGCACAGAGTGTGTTGCAATGCAACACCTACTCAACAACCTGAGTTCAGTCGATAAACAGGAATAATGGGTTCGTCGTGGGTGGGGGGACGCCCAACAACGAACACTAGGAAAAAACACGTGCGTGTCACCGATCCTGGCGAAGCGACGACGGCACCAGAGGAGCATGATAACCATCCCCACATACGCACCGCGCGCAGTACCCGCCGAGGGCGCTGCACCTCGTCCTGTGTCTTTGCATCTGCCAGTGGCTCGAGTTCTGTTTGCTCACAGCACGTGGGAGTTCAGACCAAACGGACCGCTGGTCAGCGCTCACCTTACCGACGCGTGTACTCGACCAAATACTTTACATATGTGGCTGCGTAGCCGAGGGCGTGGTTGGTTGTCAACGTGGTTGTGGCAACGGCTGCGACGACGAAGGTGATAACGGCCGTAGGCGACGACATGGCTGCCCTCGGTGATCGCAACATCATTCTGGTTCTCGTACTGGGTGGTCGAGGCGGTGCTGGATACCGTGGCAGTGCTGGCAGACGGTGCGCGAAAGCCATTGTGCATGGTCTGTCGGGCTGGGGATTCCGAACCAGCTCGGAAAGGGGGCGGCCGATGAATCCTTGAGCCGATGAGGCGTCGCGTTCCTTCCGCCAGCCTCCGCCGAGGAAGAGGTGTCAATTCCTTCTATCCTGGTATGCCAAGCCCTTTCGAGAGAATGTCGCAACAAATGGCACATTCAATTCAGAGTCTCTGAACGGGCTCAAAAACGGGGTTTAGACACGCAAGGGCGGACAACACCACCATCCCCAAGCGCAGCCTACCAGGTCATAATCCCTCCTCCCTCCATCCTTCCTTCGATTTTTCTCCAAGAAGTCTCCCTCCGCGCCGTTCCCTCTCTCTTCTTCCGCCCCGTCTGCATATCATTCCTCCTTCTTATGTTCCCTCGTCTCCTGGGAGGATCTGCAATCAACCGAAGCACAGCCAAATCGAGACTGACAGGCATCACGGAGGAAACGCACAGAGGCGAAGGAAATGTAATGGATAGGGAAGGACAGGGAGGGTGGAGGCTCAGAAATTGCCCTGCGATCGCGACGACGTGCGAGTCAACGGAACCTGCATGCCTTCGCGTCCAGCACTGCGACGACCTGGGAATAACAAACATGGTGGCTAGACTGCGCCGCCGTGGCCTGCGGTCTGCGCGGACAGACACCCCCACAAGCGAACAAGCGAAATGATGATCTTCAACAAACAAGAGCGAGACGCACCATCACGCAACAAGAGGGAGTGCCACGACTATCGAGCCACAGCATGGAATCAGGCACTGGCTGGGGCCTCCTCCAGTGGCGCAGACCTGTGCCACTGCTCCTGCGCCGATGCCGCGGCGACCGCCTCGGAGGAGGTTGAAGAGCAGACACAGACTCAAGACGAAATAGTGCGCAATATCCAGGTCGTGGCGGGTTCCATCTGATGCTGGCATTCTTCCAGAATGGCACAGGTAACCAGCATACCACCAAGCAAGTTTGACATGTCTCTAGATATATGTAGATATACATTTGTATATATGTATATGTATACACATATGTGTAAAAGTATAAGTATAAGTATACGTCGGTACGTTTGTTTGTATGCGAACGTATATATATACATATATATACATATATATACACACATACATGGTGGGTCGTGCAAATAATTCCACCAGCCCTGTAGGGCGCGAGTGTTTAGAGCGTTTCCTCGTCCAATCCCCTTTTTCCCGGCGGAACCGGGTGAAATTCCGTGCCCGCCACTGACTGACAAGATTGACTGACTGATTGGCTGACTGATTGCCTGACTGAACGTCAGGAGGCACCTTGAACAACACATTTCAAGCCGCCCACGGGCGCGCAACCGCAACTGGGCGACACATTTCGACCCGTCCGCGGGCGCGCAACCGCAACCGCAACTGGGCGACACATTTCAACCCGCCCGCGGGCCCGCAACCGCAACCGCACCTGGGCGACACATTTCGACCCGCCCGCGGGCGCGCAACCGCAACTGGGCGACACATTTCAACCCGCCCGCCGGCGCGCAACCGCAACCGCACCCGGGCGATACATTTCAACACGCCCGCGGGCGCGCAACCGCAACCGCACCTGAACCGCAATCGCACCTGGGCGACACATTTCAAACCGCCCGCGGGCGCGCAACCGCAACCGCACCTGGGCGACACATTTCAACCCGCCCGCGGGCGCGCAACCGCAACCGCAACTGGGCGACACATTTCAACCCGCCCGCGGGCGCGCAACCGCAACCGCACCTGAGCGACACATTTCAATCCGCCCGCGGGCGCGCAGCCGCAACCGCAACTGGGCGCCACATTTCGACCCGCCTGCGGGCGCGCAACAGCAACCGCAACTGGGCGACACATTACAACCCGCCCGCGGGCGCGCGCCGCAACCGCCAACTGGGCGACCAATTTCAACCGCCGCGGTGCGCGCAACCGCATAAACGCAACTGGGCGCACATTTCAACCCGCCCGCGGGGCGCAACGCAACCACAACTGGGCGACGTTTCAACCCGCCCGCTGGGCGCGCAACTGGAAACGCATTACTGCGCGACCATTTCAACCCGCCCGCGGGCTGCGCAACGAACCGCCCCTGGGCGCGCATTTCAACCCGCCCGCGGGCGCGCAACCACAACTGGGCGACGTTTCAACCCGCCCGCGGGCGCGTCGACCCGCCAGCGGGCGCCCAACCGCAACCGGAACTGGACGACACATTTCATCCCGCCCGCGGGCGCGCAGCCGCAACCGCACCTGAGCGACACATTTCAACCCGCCCGCGGGCGCGCAAGCGCAACTGGGCGACACATTTCAATCCGCCCGCGGGCGCGCAACCGCAACCGCAACTGGGCGACACATTTCAACCCGCCCGCGGGCGCGCAACGAACTTGGGCGAGCATTTTCAACCCGCCCGCAGGGCGCGCAACCGCAATCAGGCTGGGGCGGGGACGAATTTCAACCCGCCCGCGGGCGCGCAACTGCAACATCGCGTCTCCGCCCTGCCGCCCTCCTCAGGGTATTCTGAGGGCGGAGGAAAGGCGGTGGGGGTGGGTGGGTGGGGGTTGGTTGGGGGGGGGGGTGGGGGGGTGGGTGGGGTATGGGGGGGGGAGGGGGGAGGGGTGGTGGGGGGGGGGGGGGGGGGGGGGGGGGGGGAAGTATGGGGGGGGGAGAGGAGACGGATGGGGGGGTTGAGAGCTCACAAGGATTGGGGGCGGAGCCCCCCCCCCGCCCCTGTTCTGCGCAAGTGGATCTCTCCACTAGGCTCCAGGCCCTGGATTCCTCACCCAAGGCCTCCGCGGTCTGCTAGCGGGATGGGTGGGTTAAGCGCCCCCGAGGGGGGTGGGGGGGGGCGAGGCGTTGACGGCAGCGGTCCGATGCACCGCCTAATTTGAAGTTTGGGGGGGGCAATGCCGCGGGGATCGATTGCGGTTCGCCCGCGCGCAAGGGCGGATGTAGGTGCATCGGCGCCGTCTCATTCGCGCAGCATTCATGATCTGGCGCAGGGGCAGGCGGAGAAGGAGGGGGGGGGGGGGGGGGGCGAGGAAGAGGTTAGAGGGAGGAGCAGGAGGGAGGACGAGGAGGATGAGGAGGAGGAGGAGGAGGAGGAGCAGCAGCAGCAGGACGAGGAGGAGGAGGAGGGCTAGGATGACCAGGAGGAGGAGGACGATGGGGAAGGCGGCGCCAGGGTGGCGCTGCTTGAGAAGGTGCGCGAGCAGGTGCTTGTCGCGGAGGGCCGAGGAGGATAAGGTGGTGGACGTCAAGGAGGATGGAGGTGGATGTCCTCCTCGCGGCCTCCGGGCGTGACCCGCGGTTCTCCGCCGGGGCGCTGCAGCGGGGAACCCCCGTTCCACGCTGTTGCTTTTCCCGTCGGGGAAGGTTTATCCATCCACCTCCCCCCCCCCCCGGGCACGGGGGGGGGGGGGGGGGGGGCGCGCGGCCAGTTAGAGCGCCAAGATGGCTTGACGAGAAGACCAAACTCATTTAATTACACATGAAAACGCTGGGCCACATTTATATGTTGGGGGGGGGGGGGGGGGGGGGGGGGGGCGGGGGGGCGGGCTCGATAAGGGGGCGCCCCTCCTTTGATCGATCTTCTCGAAGATGGCCGCGAGATTGCTTCAAGAGGCGCCCAAGAGGCCCCTCCAGGCGCCCCCCCCCCCCCCCCCAGAGGCTGCAAGGAGACCCTCAAGACGCCTTGAGATGCCTTCCAGGGGCGCCCAAGACGCCCCAAGGCCTCGACGAGAAGGCCCACATCATTGATTTGACTGGAAGGTGTTGGCCACTTTTTGGCCTCCTGGGGAGGCGGGGCCCCGCTGCACTACGGCCCCTCATTTGCTCGATCTCGTCCAAAATGGCCCCAACATGGCCCGCGAAGCTCCCAAAGGTGCCCCCAAACGGTCGCAAGTGGCGCCCGGGGGGCTCCAAGAGGCACCCATGAGGCCCCCAAGACGCCCCCAAGAGGCCACCGAGAGACCCTCACGGCGCCCCCAAGAGGCCCCCCAGGAGCACCCGAGACGCCCCAAGAAGCCTCGGCGAGAAGCCCCAAAGCATTGATCTTTCTAAAGCCTTGGCTACAGTTTGGCCTCCTGGGGGCGATGGGCCCTAGGCGCCTGTCCCCCTTGCCCGGGGCGCCCCGGGCCCGCCCCAAGATGGCCCCGGGGGGCCCAAGAGGCCCCGCGATGCCCCCAAGAGGCCCCCAGGAGACCCCCGCGACGCCCCAAGAAACCCCTGGGGCGGCCAAGGGGCTCCCAAGACGCCCCCAAGAGCACCCCGAAAAACTCTCGAGCGAATCCGAAGAGACTCCGAGCGGCATTCAAGAGGCCGTTGGCGTTTCTGTTCGCCCTCCTCCCCCTCCTCCTCCTCCCCCTCCTCTTCCTCTTCCTCATCCGCCTCTTCCTTCTCCTTCCACCTCCCTCCTCCCCCTCTCTTCCTCTTCCTCCTCTTCCTCCCCCCCCTCTCCTGCTCCGCCTCCGATTTCTCCTCTATCCCCCTCCCCTCGTGGGGTGCGACGTCTTGCCCAGCCTTTATTCCACTGCATTCTCCTCATCCCTGACCAAGGCAACTCGCCAGGGCATTGTTTCTGGATGGGCTGGCAGGGTTGCGCGAAGCGCCCGGGGTGGAAAGCGGCGCCTGCGAGAGAGAGAGAGAGAGAGAGAGAGAGAGAGAGAGAGAGAGAGAGAGAGAACTATATAACAATGGTAACGACGACGTCCGTGTAACTCCCCGTGCATCTCCCCCCCGTCCTACGCCTCTTCCTTCTCGCCACCGCAATGCGCAATCGTCACCTTTTGTTGTCCTCCCCCTTATTGTTCCACCTCCTCCCCTTTCTCATGTTCATCGTGCACTTGCTCCTGATCCCCCCCCTCCTCCTCGTTTTCTTCTTCCTCCGGCTTTCTCGTCCTTCTCCTCTTCCTGCTCGCGCACTCCCTTCATTCATTCTCTAATTCCCCCCTCGCCGTGGCCGTCGCTTGCAAATTGCGCGAGCCATCTGCGAGCGCGGTGCTACGGGCAGCAGTCCGAATATGCAACGCCATGGCATCTCAAAATGCATGCGAGCGCAGGAAAAAAAAAGCCCGTGAACACCGCGTTGTTCCTGCGAGCGCAACGCTACGCGCATGGCCACAACAATAGCCTTCGCACGCAACGACACCCGAGTGAGCACCACGCCGCGTTCTCGACCACGAAGCGGCGAAGAAATCGCAAGTCAACGCCACTATGCGCCACAACGTCCTGGGCTTTACCTGCACCTTTGCCGCGTTATCCGGGCTTCTCAGAAAACAGACAGTTGCGCATCCGGCCCTTCGGCTGAGCATGCTAACTGCATCCGTCCTATCAAATCGATAGTGGTCTACGTTCGCGTCGGTTCCACGTTGGGCAATCCGTTTTTGCTGTCCTTGCAGCCGAACCAGAGATCGGCGAAATTGGCAACCTCCGAAAGGCCCTCCTCCATTTCCTTCCAAACTCCGTTCGTCTCTGGTTGCCCACTACTCCGCGTCTCCAGGATGTCCAGTCCCGACGCGGCAGCCCGTCCCTACTCGTTGGGCCGCCGACGCGTTGGCGCGCCCCACGACGCGTCGAAAACTGTCGCGCGTCAGCTCGATCTCGGCGTCGACCTCGGCGTGGAGTGCCGTGTCACTGCGGCCCATGTTGAAACGATTTCGGTTGGCCCGTGGCGAACGCGTGACGCGCGACAGCCAGACAACAAGGCTCCTCGTCGAGCACGTCTTTGTTGTGGCGACGGCGACCGTGCAAGACGGTCGCGCCACGGCCCATGTTCTTGTCTCGCGGTAGTCCGACGGCGAGCCCGTGAACGACGCGAGCAACGGCCATCCTCCGCGGCCAACGAGCA